ACTGTAACATTATAACGCCCCCCACGGCTGAAAGGGCGAGCATGTTTGGTGTGACGGGGATTCGAACCCGCGACCCACAGATTGCGAGTCGAGTGCCCTAACCACTTGGCCATGCCGGGCCCGTTTTATTGAAAACTTTACATCTGAGCGCACAATAAATGATTCTATTACTTACATCCGGGTACTGTATTTTGCTTTGTTTTTAGTGGAAGAGCTTTTTCTAGAAAATCTTGATAATTCTGTATAAGAATATCATCTATATATCTGCAAGTGCCAACATACAAGGTTATTTAAGTGATTAGATCCTATTGATCAAAGCTCGTGCCCTCTGGTGGAGTAACGTAATAAAATTTTCTTTGACTCATCAGATATTTATTATTGCTGCAATCACAGAGGTAATCATTCTGAAGTAAAATACAGAATACTAATATTATCAGTTTAAAGTATTAAAATAAATTGTTTATTTCATCAGTTCAACGGGTTTACTTACTTGTCACAGTTGATACATTTTACAGAGCTCATTTTCTTGTAACTTTTGAACATTTCAATCCCAGCACAGCGAACGTCTCCGTCTGTTACAGCGCTAAAACCCAGCTCTTTCCTTATACAGTTGGCAAAGTATAACCAATCCGTTTGGGAATGGCTGACATCTGCAACAAAGCTCAGCACTAAGATGACTGGTGCTAAACCCAGAAAAGGCATGGCTGCAAACCTCATTGTTTCTGTAGTTCACAAAAGAATTATTACTTATATGCACTTAGACATACACACATATATCTGTTTTACTTTCTTAATTGTGTAAATCTAATATAGATTTTACTGAATTCATTTAATATAATTACTTAAACAACCTTGATTTCATTTCAAAGGCTTATATGATCCAACCGTAACTAATTGTGCGTTAGTCCTTGGCCTAAATTTGATCTGTTATGATATAAAAAAATTATAATTCGCAAACTTAATTTAGTTCACACCAAAACAGCTATTGTTCAAGTAATCGGTGACCACTACTATGTCCATCGTATCCCAGTCAGCCTTGGCATTTGGCGAGACGCTTCGTCTGCACTGGATATAACAGAGATGTAATGTGGTTGACATATTATTATACAGACTTCTATACTTTCCCTCGGAAGTTGTAATTAATAACCACATTCGGGTAATTTTACTGATTGTTTATTTTCCACTTCCCTTTTGGTTTTGACATCTTCAAAGCAAAACAAATATTGAAACACAGAACTTGTGAGTATTCAAAGTCGGCTACACTTATACACAAATTACAGTCAAGTTTTTAAAAACAAAATATACTTACAGAACTAAGTTAAATTTCAAAATATTTTACTCTGAATAGATTGTTTTTAATAATCAAGTAAGATTACGCGTTTACTTTTTATCGTTGTTGTAATTAAGTTATAAAACAATTATTAAGAAAGTAAAGATAAAAAATATTACCCGAAGAAGAAAAATTGCAATTTATAAACAGCAGTAAACGTGATCTTCTCAAGCCGATCTCGTAAATTGTAGGGAGCGCTTTCAAACTCTCCTTTTATATCGATATCGCTCTTTGATAACAATCGATGTTTGTTTGTTGTTTTTCTGTTTCTTTCGAGTTTCGTGATAAATTGACACGTGGAAACTTCTCGAGGTAGACGAGTTTCCTGGAACTTCCAAGATAAAAATTATAAATATTTGCACACATGGACTAAAAAACTTGATAGTCGAAACCTGGCGCTATACTCTATAGCTAACATGCAAATTTCCGAGATTAACGTTCCTCTACAGTAGCTACTATTTACGATATTTGTTGTCTTTTAATCGCCATCTAGTAGTAGAGTTCTTTTGTTCTCAGTCTCTTTCATCATACCATCGAAACATAAAAAAAATTGCTGAACTGGAGGGGATTTTACAAGTTATGAATACACGTGGATGTGAATTTGACAGTTGGCGGTGTTTATAGCAAAACAAGTGAATTTCGAAGAACGACGTTCCACAACAATGCTCACTATTACCTGTGATTATGAAATATCTTTTCCTGTGGACTGTACAAACATTCAAAATACCAGTTAATTTTACTCAGTTGTTTATTTTATGTGTGTTTATGTTACACATTGGAGAAGTCGTGAAATATTTTACTCCAAATTTGTTTAAAGCGATGTTTTACTCATGTCTCTGTGTGTGTTTAGGAGCTACTAAAAGTAATAAATAAAACACGTATTTACTTAGTACAAGCTCCGTAACCTAACTTCGGAATTAGTGGATATTACTCTGATAATTCTGATCTATTTGGAAAACAGGATTTCATAATACAGATTGCTACATAATATGACGAAATATCATCGAGAATTGAGGAAAAACAAGACAGGTGCACGTTTCACAAAAACATCATTTACTATGACCATAGTTTCGCCAGTAAAGGCATCACCAGATTTCACCAAGTACCGACGGTTTCAAGTATCAATTAAATAGCTCGAGCTTTATAGTCGGTTTGCAACAATGAACATGTTGCCTTGTGTTGAACAAAATAAACATTATAACTGTATAAGAATTGCGTATCTTCATTTGACTGTTGAAGAGGTAATGTTTGAAACTCCACAAACAAATATAATAGAACCTTACTGTTGAAAAATATTGATAGTGTAGAAGTCTAGGGAAAGACTAGACAGACTAAGAACTTACAAAGAGGTTAGACATTACATTACAACAACTAAATGTTATAAGTGTTTCAGAAAGCTAAACACTTTCATTAATGAGCCAAATGGGTGCTCAAAGTGTGTAAAAAATGAAGACTAGGAACTTTGTCAATCTAAAAACTTTGATCAATGGCTTGCTGTAAAACATGAGAAAGAAAAAAGCGTTTACAGTTCTGAGTGTCTTAGCTTTTAATTCTGAGATCATAACTGAGTTATGTAACTACTACTGCTTGATATCTGTATTCTAACGTATTTGTTTTCTACACATCATTTAGTTATGTATCTACTATATCTTGATATCTCTACCATATTGTGTATGTTTTCTACACATCCTTTAGTTATGTATCTACTATATCTTGATATCTCTACCATAGTGTGTATGTTTTCTACACATCCTTTAGTTATGTATTTATTATATCTTGATACCTCTACCCTAATGTGTATGTTTTCTACACATCATTTAGTTGTGTATCTACTACAGCTTGATATATCTACCATATTGTGTATGTTTTCTACACATCCTTTAGTTATGTATTTACTATATCTTGATACCTCTACCCTAATGTATATGTTTTCTACACATCATTTAGTTGTGTATCTACTATATCTTGATATCTCTACCATAGTGTGTATGTTTTCTACACATCCTTTAGTTGTGTATCTACTACAGCTTGATATATCTACTCTAATGTGTATGTTTTTTACACATCCTTTAGTTATGTATCTACTATATCTTGATATATCTACCCTAATGTGTATGTTTTCTTCCCATCCTTTAGTTATATATCTATCACAGCTTGATATATCTACCCTAATGTGTATGTTTTTTACACATCCTTTAGTTATGTATCTACTACAGCTTGATATATCTACCCTAATGTGTATGTTTTCTACACATCCTTTAGTTGTGTATCTACTACAGCTTGATACCTCTACCCTAATGTGTATGTTTTCTACACATCCTTTAGTTGTGTATCTACTACAGCTTGATATATCTACTCTAATGTGTATGTTTTTTACACATCCTTTAGTTATGTATATACCACAGCTTGATATATCTACCCTAATGTGTATGTTTTCTACACATCCTTTAGTTGTGTATCTACTACAGCTTGATATATCTACTCTAATGTGTATGTTTTCTACACATCCTTTAGTTATGTATCTACTACAGCTTGATATATCTACCCTAATGTGTATGTTTTTTACACATCCTTTAGTTGTGTATCTATCACAACTTGATACCTCTACCCTAATGTGTATGTTCTCTACACATCCTTTAGTTGTGTATCTACTACAGCTTGATATATCTACCCTAATGTGTATGTTTTCTACATGTCCTTTAGTTATGTATCTACTATATCTTGATACCTCTACCCTAATGTGTATGTTTTCTACACATCCTTTAGTTATGTATCTACTACAGCTTGATATATCTACCCTAATGTGTATGTTTTCTTTACTTTGTTTATACTTTAATCTGGTTGTTTTCTGCGCATGTGAAACTTTGATTTTCTAAAAAAAAATAACTTGTAAGTTTTTTTAGATTTTTGAATCTTTGAAGAAACATTTTGTGTTTTTTATTTGACTTTTAGATAATGATAAGATTTGTCACATTCTTGTCACTATATTTTAAAGGTGTCCATGTTTTGTTATCTAGTGGGAAATTCCCCTAACAGGTTTTCGTTTCTTCGCAAGCAAGTATCTTTTTTTGATTCTTTACTCTTTTTCTCGACATGGATGAACTTAGCCGATTCACTTCGTGTTTTCGTTGAAGTTAAATCATGTGTGCCTTTGAACTGGTGAACAAATGACGCAAGAAAACATTTTCGCTAAATAACTATACAAAGTGGAATGACATGTGTTCCTTCCAACCCCCGATTGCTTTAGGCGTCTGTGAGTTGAGTAACAGGGTAATTTTGAAGCCAATGACAACAGCTGTCTAGACACAACAGATTTATTAACTAAGATGAAGCGTATTTCAGGGTGATGTTGAAATACTTTATTTTCAAGCGTGTTGCTAAATGACTAATTAACCAATGTAGCATGGCCACATTATTCAATATTATTTTATTTTCAAGCATGTTGCTAAATGACTAATTAACCAATGTAGCATGGCCACATTATTCAATATTATTTTATTTTCAAGCGTGTTGCTAAATGACTAATTAACCAATGTAGCATGGCCACATTATTCAATATTATTTTATTTTCAAGCATGTTGCTAAATGACTAATTAACCAATGTAGCATGGCCACATTATTCAATATTATTTTATTTTCAAGCATGTTGCTAAATGACTAAGTTAGCCAATGTAGGATGGCCACATTATTCAATATTATAGCCCCACCTCCATCCCCTATTGGCACAGCGGCATGTCTACGGACTTATAACGCTAGAAACCGGGTTTCGATACCCGTGGTGGGCAGAGCACATATAGCCCATTGTGAAGCTTTGTGCTTAACAAATTAATATTTTGACATAAAATGTGTGATTCAAGGCCTAGTCTTGAATCTTGTTTATTTTATCTGCTAACATTAAC